GCCGCCGCCCCGGCCGCTGGGCCACCGCGGGTGTCTGGACGCCCCGTGCGGCCGGCGGGGGAAGCGGGCCCTGGTCCCGAGGAGGGGAGGCCCGGGACTGCCCCAGTGGGCTTGCTCCCGGGGCTACGCCGGGGCCGGGGAGGAGGAGACCATTCACTCAAAACGGCGTGTACGGTGCGCTCCCCGTGTCGGGCGTTTCGTCCACGCTATCCCGTTTCTCTCCGGTTCACTCGCGAGCGAGGGACCACCGTCACCCTGTTGCACAGATGAGGAAACTGAGGTCTAGGGACGTGAATTAGCCTCCCCGGCAGCAAGTGGCTGGAAAATAGAGTGGGGACAGGCAAAACCGTGCACAGGACAGCAGCTGCTGCGTGGGCGAGAGTAAGGACTCGAGCCGGATGGCCTTGAGTTCGAATTCTAATCCAGCTCCTTGGGGCGCCTGAGTGGCTCAGTTGGTTGGGCGACTGCCTTCGGCTCAGGTCATGATCCTGCAGTCCCGGGATCGAGTCCCGCATCGAGTCCCGCATCGGGCCCCTGCTCGGTGGGGAGTCTGCTTCTCCCTCTGACCCTCCCCCCTCTCATGTGCTCTCTCTCTCTCTCTCTCAAATAAATGAATAAATAAAATCTTTAAAAAAAAAATGGGCGCGGTGTTGGGATTAAGCGAGTTGAAAGCTAGGAAGTGTTGGTGTTATTTTAGGGACGCGAGGCGCAGGAAGGGGTGCTCTGAGGCTCTTCTCCGCGCACAACGGGCCTCTGACGCCCCCTGCTGGCCAAAGGGGGACGCTGGCGAGACCGTTTTTGGATAAACAGGTTGTTTTGGGATGAGGAGAAAGCGTAGGCACAGGTGCCTCAGGTTCTTCCTTTTCTTTCCCCCTGTGCCATCGGGCCTCAAAGTGAGGTCCAGGGACCACTGGGTTTTCTGAGACTCTTTCCAGGTGTCCCTAATGTCAAATTACTGGTGGCAAAGAGTTGAGAGATGAGGAAATTGAGGATTCATTCCAGACTTTGCAAATACTTGGCCTCCCTTCATGGACCTCACAGGGCCAGCCAATTCCACAATTCTACAAATAGGGATAGGTATAAAGATCAAGTTACAAAGCTGTGAACCAGCGTGCTGGGTATAACAAAAAAAATCTGGAACTAATTTGAATGTCTATCGTGGGAATACTGACCAATTTAGCAGTGTTATATCTGTGCAGCTGAAAAACAACATTGCAGAATGGTTGACATGAAAACATAGTCAAACAAGAACGAATCTTACAGACGTTATGTTGAGCAAAAGGAGCCACACACACACATACACACACACACAAACATATTGTTGGATTTTTATATAAAGTTCAAGAACAGGGGCGCCTGGGTGGCTCAGTTGGTTAAGCGGCTACCTTCAGCTCATGTCATGATCCCAAGGTCCTGGGATCCCAGCCCAGAATAGGGCTCCCTGCTCAGCGGAGAGTCTGCTTCTCCCTCTCCCTCTGCCCCCCCCCCCCCCCCCCCCCCCCCCCGCCGCTCGTGCTCTGTCGCACTCTCTCTCAAATAAATTTAAAAAATAAAATCTTTAAAAATAAAGTTCAAGAACAGGCAAAGTTGATCTTATGATAGAATTCAAAACAGAGGCTACTTCTGGGAAGGTTTTGACTGGGAAGAGAGCAAGGAGCCTTCTTGGGTGTGGAAATGCTCCCTATTAATATGGGTGGTAGTTACAAAAGTCTACACATATGTAAAAATTCATTAAGCCTTACAATTAATATGTACTTTATGCATAGTACACCGCAATAATTCAATTGTTAAAAAAAGATACTCAAGCAAAAAAAAAGTGCTAAACAGTTTGATCCTATTCATAATAAGAAAATAAAAGGAAAAATATAATTAATCATGGAGCAGCAGTTCTAAGTTTTTTGTCTCAGGACCCCTTTACATTCTTAAATTATTGAGGATCCCAAAGAGCTTTTGTTTTTATAGGATATATTGATACTTATGAATATTAAAACTGAGAAATGCAAAGATTCCAAGTAAACAAATAAAATTGAGAAGTGTTTAAAACAAAATAGAAAATCCCATTAGCCATCAGAGTGATAATGTCAGCACATGTCACATAGTCTCTGGAAAACTTTACTGTCCACTCTGAGAAAGTGAAAAAGGCAAATAACATCTTAGTATTATTATGACAGTAATTTGACATTAGGGACACCTGGAAAGAGTCTCAGAAAACCCAGTGGTCCCTGGACCTCACTTTGAGGCCCGATGGCACAGGGGGAAAGAAAAGGAAGAAAATACACTACATGAGAAATTATCTCCCGGTGCTGAGATTATAATTTTTTATTTCCTTCTTTGTACTTTTTTTTTTTTTAAGATTTTACTTATTTATTTGAGAGAGAGAGAATGAGAGAGAGCACATGAGAGGGGGGAGGGTCAGAGGGAGAAGCAGACTCCCTTCCGAGCAGGGAGCCCGATGCGGGACTCGATCCAGGGACTCCAGGATCATGACCTGAGCCGAAGGCAGTCGCTTAACCAACTGAGCCACCCAGGCGCCCCTGTACTTTTTTTTTTTAAAGTAAAATATAACAACCACGAATTGTTTCTGCAAACAAAAGCCGAGGTAATATACATGTTTCCATAAGATTGTTGAAAGACCCAAACAGTAATAATATATTTGGCTGTACGAAAAAATTAAACAGAGCTCTAACCTGAAACTAGGGGTCCGATTTACCGTGTCAATCCCAGGCGTGTAAATGCAGGGTCTTGCCCTCAAAAGTTCTGCCGTCTAGCTTAGGGAGCGAATATAAGTGCATACACAACTTTATTGCAAGGTAATAAAAAGTAAATACCCCGAGAGCCCCAAATGCAGCGGCTTCATCCTACACAGAATTGCAAACTCTGGCGTGTTGCAGAAACACCCAACGCAACCACACGCCACTCCATCGCAGATCTCCACCCCCAAACAACTAACTCGGCGGGGCTGTCAGCAGGACGCATGCGCTCTACAAACGTAAAGGGAGGTAGGGCTTAAAGGAGACTGACACTGGGTTCGGCCTCCCAACCCTCTAGCCCCCGCCCTCCTACCCTGCTTCCCTCTCTGAGTGGTTGCAAGACTGCGGAGGGTAATTTCCCATTGGCAGCCAGCAAAACCGCAGATATCCGGTTTGGGCGCAGGGCCGCCGGGCGCGGAGGCCGCCATGGTGCGATTCAAACACAGGTAAGGACCCCTTGTCCCAACACCCGCTGCCCTGCCGGGTCCCCGCGGCCTCGGCCCCGCGCTCACTTTCCTGCTGCCCGCCGCAGGTACCTGCTCTGCGAAGTGGTGTCTGATGACCCCCGCTGCCGCCTGAGTCTGGAGGACCGAGTGCTGGGCGGCCTCATACGGGACACGATCGCCCGCGTGCACGGGACTTTCGGCGCGGCCTCCTGCTCCATCGGCTTCGCGGGTGCGAGGGTCCTGGGGAGCTAGGCGGACGGCGGGATTGGGAGGGAACGGGGGCCGGAAGAGGGAGAAAGAAAGGGTACGAGCGACCGCAGGAGCTTCCAAGCCCGATACACAGACCTCACCCTACAGTATCGTCCTCTTGAGGCCACTCGGAGTCTAAGCCCGAGTCTGGACGAGTCCGAGGTTAGGCGGAGAGCTGAAAGGCAGTGGCACTTTGGGCAAGAACCTACTTTATTTCACACGTGTATATTGGGGATTGTGATTGAATTGAGCAGGATAATGAATTAAATGGGGGAAGCCATGTGTAGTTCCGAGTTACTTGGTTACATTGACATCCCATGGGGGAAAAAATTGTCAAAATTACCCCTAAAAAGCCCTTAATAGGGCAGATAAAATACAGAACCCACCACCGTATGTAAATGAGGAAGAGGATTCTTCTGACAGGCACGCTTTTTTTAAGTGTTCTGTGGGGTTTTTTTGCGATTTTATTTAAATATTTATTGGAACGAGTAGGGAGGATAGGGAGAAGCAGACTCCGCGTTCAGCAGGGAGCCTGACACGGTTCCATCCCAGGACCCTGGAGTTAAGACCTGAGCTGAAGGCAGACGCTTAACCGACTGAGCCACCCTATTGTGACTCCCCTAGCCACACTATTTAATATTTAAATTACCTCTTTTACCCTTTGCTTAAAATTGAATACTGGAGAATTACATGCACATAGGCACAGTTCACTTACATTGGGTCATTCTCAGCCTCTTCAAGAACCTAGAGAGTCCATTTGCAATAGAACCTGTTTTTCAGGGGGTGCCTGGGTGGCTCAGTGCCTTAAGCATCTGCCTTTGGCTCAGGTCATGATCCCACAGTGCTGGGAGTGAGCCCCCCCATCAGGCTCCCAGCTCAGGGGCAGCCTACTTCTCCCCCTGCTTGTGCTGTCAAATAAATGAAATCTTAAAAAGAAAACACCACCACCACCTGTTTTTCAGCCAAGGGTTTCCTCTGAGGAAGATGGTTCCCTGCCAATCCCAACCCCACTTATCAGTTAATCAGTGAATTAGAGGAGCATTTAAAATTCCAAATTCATTCACCAGTTCTGAGTGGTGTGCAAAGCCCTGGGTGTGGTTTATCCCTTTTCCATAAATAAAGGTCTGTCCTAAGGTTTTTTTCCTTCAGAAATTGGTTTTTACTCACTGATGCATCCCAAGTGCCACTGCCTGGCACACAGTAGACTCTCAGTTACTCTAAGATTTTTAAGTGAATCCAGTTTCCCAAAATGATTTTTTTTCCCCCCGCTGTAGTGCGATACCTCAATGCCTATACTGGAATAGTGCTACTTCGATGCCGGAAGGAATTCTACCAACTCGTGTGCTCAGCTCTTCCTTTCGTCACATACTTGGAGAACAAAGGACACCGTTACCCGTGTTTCCTCAACACCTTACATGTGGGAGGTAGGGGTGCATGTGGTATGGCTGCTGACTTCCAATAGTAACAGGTCCAGGGTTCAGTCTTGACAGGCAGGTGGGTCTTCCTGCTGTCCTGCCAAGAACGGGAGGCTTTCGCCTAGCTTGGAAAGTCTTTGAGGCAGACACCTTTCACAAGCTGTTGACCACGGAGCTCTTTCATGTGCCAGGTACAATTAGAACATGTCAGAAGTTCCTGATTCGTTACAACAGGAGACAGCTGTTGATCTTACTGCAGAACTGCACTGATGAAGGTAAGCAACATTAGCCAGTGCTCACTGAGCAGTAACTAGCCTGGCTGAATAAGAGGTCACTCCCAAAGACTTCTTTCATCCCTGCTCTGCCTGCCTTTGCAGGAGAACGGGAAGCTATCCAGAAGTCTGTCACCAGAAGCTGTCTACTAGAGGAGAGGTCAGATGAGGAGGAGCTTTCAGACAATGGCGGTGAGGAGGCTGCTGAAGCGATGGAGTGAACCTCTCTGCAGGCTGTGCTGGGCCTGAGATTCAGGGCCCACTTGTTGGAACAGGACATTCTGGAGGGCAGCAGCATCTGCTAGTTTGCCAAACTGAATGACTGCGGACCAGAGGCCAAGGTACCAGCTCAAAATGGAGGACTTGTTCACTTAAACTGAAGTCATCTTTACCTAGCGCTGCCTGGTTAAGTGGTTCTGCAGGCGGTGAATCCCCAGTGGTTACAGACGTCTCTATCTAATTGCCTGGCTGAGTAGGTTTAATAAAAGTACGTGGTAAGGCGCCTGGGTGGCTCAGTCCGTTAAGCATCCGACTCTTGGTTTTGGCTCAGATCATGATCTCACGATCGTGGGATTGAGCCCTGAGTCGGGCTCTGCTCAGCATGGAGTCTGCTTCAGATTCTCTTTGCTCTCTCCCTCGCCCCTCTCTCAAATAAATAATATCTTAAAGAAATGTACGGGGCACCTGGGTGGCTCAGTCGTTAAGCGTCTGCCTTCGGCTCAGGTCATGATCTCACGTCCTGGGATCGAGCCCCGCATCGGGCTCCCTGCTCGGCGGGAAGCCTGCTTTTCCCTCTCCCGCTCCCCCTGCTTGTGTTCCCTCCCTTGCTGTGTCTCTGTCAAATAAATAAATAAAATCTTAAAAAAAAAAGAAAGAAATGTACTTGGCTTCTGTAGCATTTAGTATACTTATGAAGTTCAAGCTTGGCCAGGTTTCCTTCCCCCTCTATCCCTGGCCTCAGTAGGAAGACTGGCTCCCTATAATGCTAGATGTATAGTCTCCCACTTGAGGCCTTGTGCCCCCACCCCTAGGATGAACCCTAACCAATCCAGGTTATTTAGAGTAAAATTATTAGTGAGACATGACAACTGAACTGGCACAAATCTATAGCTGGTCTCCGTACTGACCCACAGGGCCTTAAAAATACGAGATTCCTTACCAATCCTTAATCAGGTAACAGGATAACATGGTTCTTGCACTTTTCTTGGGGGGGTTGGGGGGGGGGTGACAAAACCTGGCCTTGCCTGACATTACAAAGTCAAGCAGCAGCTATCAACCTCATTTTCTGCAGGCCGGGCCACCTGAAACCGAGTGACACCGCCACACTCACAGAGGTTATAGGAGGATTTGGATCCACTACTTATAGGATCTGTTTTCTTGTATAACAAAACAGATGTTATTCAAAATCACTTTTACATTTAACAGAAAGATTTGTAATGTTTGCTTCAACGTGTCCCCTCACTTTCAGGGCTGGAACACCCTCATGCACCCAGGGCAGTTCCTGTCCCAGGATTTCTGAACCTCTTTAAGAATGACACGTAAAGCTAAGCCCTACTCAAGAACCCCTTAGGCCTGACACTAGGAAAGACATCGCCCCATGACGGCAGAGTGCTCAAGCTCGTAATAGCTGTTACTTTAACCTATTTAAGAAGTGTGTCTAGCTAACCTGTGATGAACTTTAAAAAACCAGAAAGCTCAAAGTTGCTTGTGCAGGTGATTTATTGCAACTGTTTGCCTTCACATTCTATTATACCTAGAGGTCATTTTATTAAGCAGCAAAATAATTCACATCACTCAAATTCCGCTCCAAAGCCATAGACTGCTCTAGAAAACAGGGAGGCAGTGGGCACCACCACTGCTTTCAGACCTGCCCGGCTCTGCCTCCAGGTATGCCAGACTCCTGTTCCTACAGCTCAGGCCACTGTCACTTGAAATAAGCTTCATCTAACGGTTGGCAGGTTCCAGGGCTTCTTTAGTGACAATTACAGCTTTCCTTGCCAAATGAGCCACATACAAGATCCAAAACCCTCTAGCACACAGGTAAGCAACCCAGGCCCCGGCACCGTAGGCTGGCCATTTCTCAGAAGAAAAACTGCAATTCAAGCTGGGTGTCCTAAATCCATTTTATTCCCATCCTCTGTTTCTTTAACAAGAGGAAAACTAAACAGGAAAGACTCCACTACTATTAAAAGACACACTGAGTGGTGTGTTGAAACCATGAGGCTCTGACATGTCAGCAGACAAGTGCTAGAACACTCGGGTGTGGGCTGCTCCAAGGGATGGTGAAGGGACTCAAACTTATTTGGGTTGAGAAAAACTAATTATACATGGGTCAAAAGACTAACCCTGGTAACAAACTAAAAATCTTGGCAGGAAGAGATCTCTTGTGAGTGTCAATACTTTATTTTGGTGTAAAGATGGGAAGCTGGAAAATACACTGTATTTAAAATTTTCTTGGTTCCCCCTCACGCTGTGGAAACCCCCTCCCCCCAGAGCTAATCTGTTCAAACTCAAATACTTAAAAATTACAGCAGCAAAACAAAAGCACAGGAAAAAGAAAACCAGACGGAGAAGGTAGCTGGGCCAGCAGTGTCACTTGGTGTGGACGACTGAGGTGCTGAACAGGAGCTTTTGTTTCTGTTTTTTTCTCTTCTTTCCTCCTTTCTCTTCTAAATGGAAACACAGAAAGAGCTTAGCTTTGAATGCCATCCCCTTGCCCACAGCCAGTTTTCACTCCTGAGAGTCCCAGAGAGGCAGCTAAGGTTCTAGGATGAGGACTGCCTGGATCCAGGTACCAGTCCTCGCACGCTCCAGGTATCTGGGCAAGTCCCTTGACGTCCCTAGACCCATTTCCTCATCTGCTCTACCTGTGATAGTTCTACCCATTTAATATAGTTGGTGGGAGAATAAAACGAGCACAGTGCTAAGCACAGAGAAGGCACCCCCTAAATGTTAACGTTCTTGTCTAACTGAAGAACCAGAGTGGTGTGGGCTTCAAGCCTGACTTCTCTATTAGCCACCCTCTACCAAACTCAGGATTCTAAAATACTCTCCACGACTATGTCTTAGAAGGGAAAAAATAAAGACTTTCTCAGAATTTCACATCTAGGCCTCAAGAATTAATGTGGGGTGGCAAAAAGGTCCTATCTGACATACCAAAAGGACTATTAGCTGACAACAGCATGTGAACCTACAGGCTCAGAGAAAAGTGCCTAATTAGGGATGTCCACCACCGGATCCAGGTGGGAATGACAACCCTGTACTGAGCACTCCATTTCTTTGCCTTTACCAGAGAGGGGATCTGAAGTAGCTGGTGTGTCCAGTTTCATGAAGGCTGCTTCAATAGCTTGGCTGAAGGAATTTTGGAAACTGGGCACAGGAACACGGTCTGAGTTATCACTCTCCCCATCGCTGTCCACAGGAGCAGGAGGAACTAAGCTGTTTTCATCTATAAAATACCAGTGTTACAATTTTAGAGACAATTCTAGAGACTGACGTTCTGAAAGGGACCAAATTCCCCCTCCACCAGAAGGTCATTCTCACCTTTTTTGGGAGCAGTTTTGGGCCACACATCTGCTTTTGCTTTTCCAACCCTCAGCATCTGCCAAAGTGGGAAAGAAGGGAGAAAAAAATTTAAGTAACCAGTCCAATTTCTTTTCCAGACTTGTGTCTTGACACTAACTGGCTAGGAGGACAAAGAATTATCACCTCTGGAAAAAAGGATTTTCCAGGTACTTCTTTCAACACACTATTTCGGTCATGTTCTCTATATCCTGACCAGTAGAACAAGCAGTGAAGTTCCCAAGGTTTAAGACCAAAGCCTGTTTTGTTCCTTAGGAAACCGGTAAAGAATAGTGCATAGACAGCACAAGAGGTTCTTACTCAGTGGGGAATCCTGACTTTGTGTCACTCCCTTCTGATAAGTTTTCCCCGCTCTTCTTGGGACCCCTAAAAACATAAACCTCTTGGAATAAGCAGTGTGCAGTGCCCTCCTATTTTAAAATGAACCACCTGGCTATTGAACTCCAGTTATTTTAAGACCAAGAAAACCAGAATAAATTTAACTTTATCCTGAAACTGCTCCAACAACCTTCATTACCCTTCAGTCTGCTTTTCCAATGGCTCCTTAATAATTATTAACTTTTAGATCCAGCCATAGACCAGATTCCTCCATGTACAGTAAAATCAGAACGATCCCTCCTGCCCCTGAATGAGGAACTCTTTCATCTCGTCTGGCCAAGGGCAGCTTCTTAATTAATGAGGGCCAGTGTGAGTCCCATCTGCCACACATGCCATGCTCAAAGCAGGGGGAATTTTATTCCTGGAAAAATACCACAAGACAAGCCCCCACAAGATTCAAATAGGAACGTCTTGTCCTAAAGTGTGTGTCCCGAAGTGAGGTACGATATTATTCAAATGGAGCTGGGCTGGCAGAGGTTGATTTCATTGAATAACCTTTCTTTATCATGATCTTTTCCCTTGGTCCCTGGGAGTTTGGGGTTCAAATAATATGGCATCTGAGTCACCTTACTCTTAAAAGGTCATTAAAAAATATATCACCTATGTTTTATTCTTGCCAGAATGTTTAGATGTTTAACCCCAATCTACTCATGAAAAAAAGAAACCAACAAATCCAAACTCTAGAGCTCCATATACAACAAATGGCCTGGATGCTTCAAAAATATCCATGCCATAGGAAGAAAACAAACAAAAAAAAAGAGGCTAGAGAAACCGGTATAGATCAAAGAAGACTAAAGAGACTTGACAAATACATACGATGAGCAATCTTTGATTGGACCTGACTGAAAACAATACAGGACCCTTGAGACAAATGGAGAAATAGAAACATATACTATATGAGGTATTTAATTAGCTGAATTTCTTTGATGTGGTCATGACAACTGTGCTTATACAGAAGAATGTCATTTGGGGGCCATTTGTCTCGTATTTGGTGGTGAACTGTCATTCATGAGGTCTGTAACTTATTTTCAACATAGTAAAACAGTAAAAAGAATTGTTAGCAAAATGCTAACAACTGGTGAACCTAGGTGAGAGGTAAAAGCGTTCACTATGCTATTCCTTCAACGCTTTTAAGTTTGAAATTGTTCACCATATAATGCTGAAAAAAAGCAATGGCAATAAAACCTAGCATAAAAAAACAACTTAAGCATTTGACATAACTCCTGCGAGCCACTTGCATAATTATCACCTCTGAAGCCTACCAGTTAATACTTGGGATTGCTCTCAATTATTTCTTCCTCCTTGACTTCAGGACTCTCCTTACCAAAGTCCAATTCCTGCTTATTTCTCAGTACACACTGCCGTTCGTTGTGAGAAACATCCACTATCACCTGCTCTAAAAAACTGTTAAGCTAATGATTCCAAACTAGCCCCAAAAAGGTTAATAATAACTTCTAATGAGGGTGCTTGGCAAGCTGTCCATCCATCTTCCTTAGTTATCTCAATGCAGGAATGCTGAGTGTTGGTTTGTTGTTTTAAAGATTAATAAAGTCATCTGACATCCTTTTGTGTCGCTGCATCCAAGAGAGCAAGCTGGGTCACCAGCAGCTCTACCTGAGCCATCCAAGGAAATTTAGCCAGGGTTCTTGTTCTTGCTGTGTCTGCTCAAACCCACACGGTCTGAGATCTGGAAATAGAGCCTCAGTATGTACCACCAGTGTTTCCAGCAGTACTCAAAGGATACAGGCTTCAGTAAATTGGATTAAGTGAAATTCCTTCAAGAGACCTACCTTAATGCTAACTTGTACATAAAATAAAAATACTTCAATTACTGGGGTGGGGGGGGGTGTCCGACAAGTGTCACTAGCCTAGTGTTCCTCTAACCCAGCTGCCCAAGAAAGCTGATCTGGCTAGTTATAGAACAACCAAGACCTTTCCCTTCCCAAAGTGAAGAGGAATGGTTTATTATCTGTAACAGATACACACTGCCTGAATCCAAGGTCCTAGAACTAGGGACCAGCTAAAATTGACTGATGTCTCCCCAGCCTCTACAACAGTGCTCACTACCCAAGTATCTAATGATTTGCTAAATAACTGAAGCTCTGATTCTCCCTCAGCTACTCTTGGCCTCTTTCCTTGGTTAGTCTATACAGTAATATCTGAGACTAAATCCATGAGATTTCCTCTTAAAAAAGCTTTCCACGATTATTACCATCCATGCAACATTAGCCTGTAAGTCTCTCCTTTTCCAACGGAAAGATTTCCAGAAAGAACAAGCAGCAGAGTTCATGTTAGATACCCCTGGGCTGTTTTACAAGCAAAAGATTTACCTGGGCAAAGGAAGGGAAGGGAGAGTCTTCTTCCAGACTCCCAACGCAGAATGAAGGACTGCCCTGACTGGCAGTGGGTGACAGAGGGGTCAGCAGAAAGTCTGAAAGGAAACCAGAGACCTGATTATGTAAGTCAAGCTCCAAGGAGCTAGTCTTTTTTTTTTTTTTAAAGATTTTTATTTATTTATTTAACAGAGATAGAGAGCACAAGTAGGCAGAGCGGCAGAGGGAGAGGGAGAAGCAGACTCCCCGCTGAGCAGGGAGTCCAAT